ATATTGTCATATGTGGTACTGAATTGAATGTATTGATAGTTCTGAAAGCCAGTATAAATCTTTATAGTAGAATTCAATGTAAGAAATATGGCATGCTGGTTATTTTTTTGAAACTTTAAATTTTAGTTATTGACTTCATTACACACCCAAGCTTAGAATTTCTGTTTTCAGTGTTGCTGTTGCTACAAACATTAATCTCAGTTATATAGAATATGCATTTGATCAGAATAGCAGATGTTGAACATCATAAGAGAAAAGAAATCAGTATGATGTTCCCTTAAATACTTGAAAATTTATACTAAATTAATCAAGAGTATGAAGTTTAAGAGGTATTGACAACTTTTATTCATGCTTTTGTAGTATTTTAAGCCTATATATTAGGAAGATGTAACATAAAATATCAACTCATATTTTCGAGGATTTATTTCCTTTAGACAAAAAGTTATCCGACAACTATTTTATTTTGAATTTTACCAAAGAATACTCCTTGTTCTCAGATACATAGTTTCAATTTAACTTTCAAAATGGTATCTATCAAACCCTGCAACAGATATAATTTTATTTATTTATTTTCATTAGGTTTTCTGGTACAATTTAGATATACACAATGATCCCATCCATCATGTGGAACTTGTAACAATCCATACCTTCAATTTAAATGTAACTCTTGTAGCATACATTAGATTGTAAGTAAATATAAACATTTAAGAATTTCTCTTTCCTTTTTCCCAATCAAAACTTGTCTGGACAGCTCCTGCTGCAGCTTTAAGAAAGTCCTCAAAGGGTGGAGTTGGAAGTGATGACTGAAGATTTTAGGGAAACTCATTGGGTTTTTTTTTTCCTTCTTATATTAATTTTATTGAGAAAGAAGTAGCAGTAGCAATAAGACAGTTTCAAAACAGGTTGGTAGGACTGTCACAATAATTAATACTTTGCATATTGTTGTCTTTGTAGTAGTTATTCATAGTACCAGATGCAGACATGATATCTTGTCCAAACACTATTCAAAACTTTATCACTGAACTAAGAGAAAGCAGCTGTATATCTATGCTAGCTATTATACATATACATATATATATAAATATATACATACATACATATATATGTCTATATATTTCACTACAAAATTGTCCTTCATTTATGTCACCTTTTTTGTTTACTTTTGTCAGAGATGGATATTCCATCTCTGACAAAATTTTTTTGTAAGTAGTCTTTAGGATATTGTCATATGTGGTACTGAATTGAATGTATTGATAGTTCTGAAAGCCAGTATAAATCTTTATAGTAGAATTCAATGTAAGAAATATGGCATGGTGGTTATTTTTTGAAACTTTAAATTTTATTTATTGACTTCATTACACACACAAGCTTAGAATTGATATATTGTAGATGCATGAATTCAGCAAAGTAATCTAATATACTCCAGTAGTCTATAATAGTAGTGAGTTATCTGCATGACTGGCAATGTTAGAAGTTGTTGACTTGAGTCTTTTACAGCTCAGCATATTAATATGGCTTTACTTTTTATGCTGCATTTTTATACTTTTCTGCTGGCTGGTTAATACCAAGATAAAGTAGGAACTATCTAACAAAAAATGTAACTTTTGTATTTGACAAGGTCAGTCAAATCCCCTCAAAATTTACCCTGAAAACCTGTATATGTCATGTATTAACATTACTTTTAACACCAGTTAAGACATCTCCTTTTAAAAATAATAAGACACAAACCATCTATTTGCATGTGACAGCTTGCAACCATTCTTAAGCATGGAAATCTTCATAGGGCCACTGTATCTTGACCCACAATAATTCAAATCGCCATGCTTACTGTTATATTTATGTACATGAAGAACATGCCTGCATCTTGTATTATGAATAACTGCTATGAAGACAGCAATATTCAATGTATTAATTATTATGACTGTCCTACTAACCTGTTTTGAAACTGTCTAATTGCTTTTTCTTTATCAATAAAATTAATTGAAAAAAGGAGGGAAGAAAGAACTGAAGGGAAGGGAGGGAAATGGAAAAAAATGAAGGAAGATGTACCATCTATAAGTACAAATTCCCTATGAGGAATGTTATTATTAGACTAAAATGTACTAATAAAATAAAAAAGTAAAATGAAAAGTAAAAAAAAAAAAAGAACACATGGTATTGATTGTGATAGCTTACTTCCTCTGATGCAGTGCTCCACAGCATTCTGCACACACGTCATTGTCTTTCTAACCACAGGATTGATCTATCCCAAAATAAGGACAACTATAAAATGTGATAGCCTGCCAATCCAATGTTCTATGAAAAGGTGTCTTACAAAGTAAATGTAAGTTTTCTGGATTTTTGAAAGTTCTTCTAAAATGTAGTTTTCTCAATATCATTGTGGGATATATGTATTTTATCATTTGCCTGTGAAAGACAACTTGTTATTTAATGAGACTATTCTAAGTTTATTTTTTGAGTTTATTACTTTCTTGTATTACATAATTATAAAATACAATGATTATATTAACTGCATAAAATGGGTACATTGAACCAGCACCCAGGTCTGGTTTGTGAGTGGGACCACTAGGTCCCGCCAGATCCCCACTCCAGCCAGTGAGCAGGCCTAGCCTGTGAGTGGGACCCCGTCAGGGCCCTCTGGATCTTCACTCCAGCCAGCACCCAGTTATGGCATGTGAGTGGGATCACCTGCTGGTCCACTGGATCCTCATTTCAGCCAGCAACTAGGCCAGGAGTGTGTGTAGAGCTTCCTGCATCAGACAGGCCCAATGTGGAACATTGTGGCAGAACTCCCTGTAGAGAGGCAAGACGCACCCAGCTGATTCAGAAGCAGAACATCTTGCCAGAGTGGCACAGCGGGCTCACTGCTGAGGGCTGCAGTGGGAAGAAGTGAGCACAGCAGCCAGACCCAAGTCTTACCCACCTGGACAAGTTTGAACTTGGTAGATCTGGACCTGGTGCTACAGTACTAACTCTACCAAAGCTCTACACCAAATGTCAGAAGACAGTGCTATATAAAATGACAAAGAAAAGAACAAAATGCTATCTTAGGCCCCAAGCCCACCCAGAACAAATGCAGGAAACATTAGCATAGAAGAAATTGGAAAGCACAAATCTGAAATCTCTGAAATAATAGCATCTGAAATAAAGAAACAACTGCAGAAAGGTATACAGGAAAGCAGATCAGAAATAGTTTCTGAAGTAAAAAAAAGAAATAACTATAATGAAAGAATTACTAAGTGCTTCTAAAGAAGAATCTGATTAAAAAAGAAGAGAATACAAAAATGATGGTATGTTTCAATGAGCAATATAGAAAAGAAATGGAATACATGAAGCAGACTCAAAGTGATATACAGCGAATTAAAAACCTCGATCACAAGCTGACAAAACCATTTGAATGAAAGTGAAAATAGACTTTCAGACCTTGAAGACACCATTGTCACAACTGAAAAGGTAAGAAAGGTAAGAAAAGATCTCTTAAAAACAATTAGGATGCAGAAAATAAATAATTCAACATCCGCAAGACAATGTAAAGCATAAGATTAATAGGCATCAATGAAAAGGAAGGAGTCAATACAAATAATATAAAAGCAGTATGGGCAGAAGTAATAGCAGAAAACTTCCCACATATGGGGAAACAATCTGACATTCAGGTAACTGAAGCATATTATACCATTCTGCCCTCTGGAACCTGGCATCGATGCTCAATTTGAGGGCGAGATCTTGAAACTCAACATGAACCACGACTAATCTCAGTGACAGTGAGGTCACAAGCTCCTCCTCAGAGGAGAGCTACCAAGTTGACCAGGAAATCCAGCATGATGAAGTATTCTAGTAGAACAGTCCAAGAGAACCAGTATCTTCCATTGCTCCAACAACTTCCTCAAAGAGCCTTCCTAACAGCCTCCCTTCAGCCTCTCCAGTTCTGACTCTTATGCTCCTGAAAATAATCCTCATATGGGCCTCCCACATTCAGCACCACCATACTTCTATTCACCTGTGTGTATTAAGTTCAAACCTGCTTAGAAACCTGCTACCATCTTCTTTGTCATGTTTATTAGAATTTGTTTTATGAAGTTCTGTGTCCCGGTATTTGGTGCATCTATGTTTATAATTATTACTTTTTACTCTTGAGTTCCTCTCACGAATATATAGAGATCCTCTTTTCTGTTCTCCTCAATCTTAGCTTGAAATCTAACTTGCCTGAAATTGTATAGCAAGTTATACTTTATTTCTGGGTTCCCCCTGCATGCGACACTGTTTTATAGCCTTTGATTTTTTTATTTCAAAGAGAATAAAAATAATAGATAAGATAATAGATGATACACAATTTCAAAATAACCAACCCCAAGACGATAGGCATTCAACAGTGATTATTATATTGCACATGGTTGTCTCCAGTGCAGTTGCACAGATTACCAGAAACAAGTGCGTAAATTGTTCAAAGTCTAAATTTTAAGCATTAATTGACATCATCAACAAAGTGATAGAAGTTAGTAGTATATTACCTTAGGTACCCTAATTATATATGTTCATGATTTTCCCCCTTCCATTTTTTTTCTTTCCCACACTACAACTCTTCATTCCTTTTCAGCAGTGTCATTCAC